GGGGTCATTTTTATAAATTCAACTATTATTTTCTCTTGTGGACTATATGTAAACATCTTTTATGTGAAATATCTTATTCAGGTCAGCACTAAATAAACAATAACATGCATTTTGTATGATCCCTCTTATTTTGGTAAAATAATAAACATTTTGCAGATTCTGAAAGGGGTATGTAAACTTTTGAGCTCAACTGTACATCGAGGTCACGTGAAAAGGCACATAAGCATGCCTATGCTGAAATCCAGGGCGTGAAATGCAGTAGGTGTGTTTAAGACCCAGCGGGCGCCTGCTGGTTAGATGTGTCACTCTCTGAGGTTTGGCAGAACGAATCTGGGAGTTGCTTGGCATACTCGACCAGCTCGTATGACTCACGGATATCTGACAGGCCGAACCAGAACACGATCCAGCGGCCATTGACGAAGCTGCCGTCACAGTGCTTGAAGTACCTGAGGAATAAAATTTGAGAAGTGCTGGAGTGCAGATTGAACAGAAGAGTAAAAGTAAGAAGAAAAAATGTAAACAGGAAAAATTGAACTAAAATTCTACGCTAGCTGGTCTCCCTCATCCCAAGCTCTTTATACAGAGTGTCTTTAAACAAATGTGCTGCTATAGTGACTTTATGTTCATTCATTAAATCAGATGGACTGTTCCCACTCTCAGAAATACAGGTACCAGACTCCTCCTTTCGTTGTCGCTGGGGTGGTACCATCAGGGGTACATCTTATATACCTTTAGTATGTTTTTTTTTTTTTACTCGAGAAGGTGCATGTTATGTACCATTAATTAACATTTTGACTAAAGCTTTAAAAAGAACATTAGCTTTAAAAAGTACATTAGTGGTCCTTAAGGCCCAATTACGTACATTAAATTATTATTAGAGCGGCGCAGTGGGTAGCACTGCCTTGTGTCGCACACCTGGTTCAATCCTGCACTCAGGTTACTGACTGTCTGGAGTTTCACATGTTCTTCCTGTGTCCATGTGGGTTTCCTCCAGGTTTTCGGGTTTCCTCCCACTCCCCAAAAACAGCATGGCAGTGGATTGGCTATGATAGATTATCCCTATGTGTAAATGAACGTGTGAATGTGTGCTTCATGTGCTGCAATGGACTACTGTGGCATCTACGATGTTTCAGGAACAGCGCC